TATATAAAACAAGCAGCTGTAGATGGCATTGAAGTCTGCAGTGTCACTCTCCCTCCTCCTCAGCGACTAGTATGTGTTGAAGGAACACATTAGATGTGTAGATTAGGAAGGCAGGATGCAGCTGAAAACACTCAATTTTAGAAAGTTAGGAGCATTGTGGCTGCATAGATGGTAGTGTTTGCTGCAACCATCTGGCCTGAAGAGGGTGGGGGGTGTATGATATGTCCTGCATCTAACTTGGTGGTTCACTTCAGAATGACCTTTAAGGATGTCATTTAGAAAACAATCTTGCTGACCACATTGGCATGCTAAATAAAGCCCATGAAGAGGACACATTGAATTGATAAAGCTTCATACTTCATTAAAGTTTGCCCAGGGAGAGGAGTTACGGTAATAAACTGATGTCATCCTTCACATAGCAGGCCGTCAAGAAATGTGGATCCAAGTGAGTTTGTTAAAGTGAATGCAATTACAAGTCTTTTCCTGACTTGGCTCAAATAATTAAGTAGTGAATATCCCTTAGAAAAGTCTTCGTGTATGTAATTAGGAAAGTTATTTTTAGAGGCAAATGAAAACTAGTATTGTGCCTGAGTTTCTACCCACAGAACATCGTATAGCCCTGTGTGTCCAGGGATGTTAACAGCTCCGTTTTATAGATGTAACTTCAGTGAAATTCCTCAGCCAGAGTCTGTCACATCTATATAACAGGGATAAAATCCACTAGGAAACACGGGGATAAGCCCTTTTATATCAAATGACAAATCATTTGCAGAATTAAACATTTCAATCAACCCCCAACAGCAACATGGAAGGGGGCAGAGAATTTTAGTTGAAGAGTATATGATTCTTGTGAGATGAGAAGGCAATAGTTATGTACTGACCTGTGAGGATGATGGTTTTCTTGTGTGTGATGTATAGTTTAAAATACAGGATGAGGATAAATTGAGACCACGCAGTGTCAGTATTTTTAAAAAAACTCTAGGATGCAGCCCAGTGGCATGACAAATATAAAATCACATATTGACGGATGACTCCTGCTTAAAAAGCAGATGAATTCATTTTCCTTGAATATTACTTGTCTACAGTCACTCACAGAATATTGGAGTGTGGTAAAAATAGCTTAATGCACATGCACATTTTTTTCCATCGGGGGAAGTTACCTTTCTATATATGTTGTCAAAAATTTCATTCCAAATACTCAGATGTTCCCAAGATCCAAGGGTGATGGAAACAATTCTACATTTGGTCTTCAGGAGACTGAGTGAACACATGAGATAGAGAGAGTATGTGGGTCCATACTTCCCATTCCAGCCTGGAGAACCCAGAAACTAAAGGAAGCATCAAAAAAACAATTATGTTCTTCTCTCTCAGGTTCTTTCTTTTCCATTACCTCCATGGTTCCTTTTCATTATCCTGGGTCCTATAGTTATGTCTGGATACATGCTAACTTATAAGGATTTGGTGCTAGAATCCACATGTGAGGGAGAACATATGTCATTTGTTTTTCTGAGTCTGTGTTACTTATTAAGATGATTAAGAGCTTCTGAGCTGTTCTGTATGAAATACACAAAAATTTAATAAAAATTTAAAAAGAAAACAATTATGGCAGAATGACATCCTCAAGCAGGTGAGAAATGAAGGCCCATTCAATAATGGTTAAGAGACAATTAGAACTCCACATGTGAAATACTAAAGCTGTACCTCTCATGTCACACAGGTGACACGAAGGTACATTCCAGGTAGACTATAAGCATAAACAAAATTACGAACTTCAGAGGAAGATATTGGAGACTATTTTATTTGTATGTAGTGAAGAATTTTAAAGTAGAACAACAAAACTGAACAGGAAAGCAAAACACAAACCATGGGGAAAACTTATTGGTCAAATGGATTATTTTAAAGCCCAAAGTTCCATACATATACAAATGGTAAGACCAAACTACAATTTGAGAGATATCTAGAAAACATAATTGGTAGAGGATTGGTACTCAGAATATATTGTAAAAGTATAATCCCTTCAAAACTATAAGCCTAAGACCAGAAACTCAGGAAGGTAGGGAAAAGATAGGAACAGACAAAAGTCATAGGGGAGGAACCAAGAATGTACACAAAACATGAAGACAACACTCACTAGTGTTCAGAGACATTCAAAGGAAACCAAGGTATGACAGTTTCTCATTTTTCAATTGGCAAAAATATAATACCCCAGCAATTTCCAAGTGTTGATCAGGATGTAGAGCATGTGAACTCATGTTCTACTGGTGGGAGTACAAATTGGTACAAACACTTCATAAGGTATTTTTGCATTCTCTACACTAGTTGAAAATATACAAAATCTACAGTTTGATAATTCCATTTGGAAGTATACACCAGTGGAAGTCTTATGCATATGTGAACAAAGGGAGATGAATAATGTTTATAAAATGATTTGTTCTATGGTAGAAGATGGTCGACAAGCTGTACCCACCCATCATCAGCAAAGATGGTAGACAAGGTACACACATCCATCATCAGCATCTGTGGGGGATAGAGCAGAAATAACTGGAGAACCACTACTTTTCTAGGTGAATGACAACAAGAAGCTTAAATTTCAGTAGCAAACAGACAGAGCCATAAGTCCCTGCCCTCGGCCAAACAAAAAACGAGTCTCTGAAAGCCTAGACTACAGTTTCAGTTGAGAATAGACAGAAACATATAAAAAAATAATAAGCCATAGAATTTAGAGAGCAGGGAATGTAAGGAGAGGAAGAGCTCCAGCGTATGGAATGTGCAGAGGCAGTGAGGTAGAGGGTGGAGGCTGAGGTGAAAGAGAGGAAGAAAGGAAGGGAGGGAGGGAAGGGAGAGTTGTAAAATTAACACTGGTCTCCCTATGAAGCAGATCTGCAGTTTAAGGAGGTAAGGGATTCTGGAGTCTGTAGCATGCTGGCCCTGGTAAAACTCTCTCTTCATGCCAGTGTTGGCTTTAATACAGAGATGGGAAGCCATATTGAGTGACTTCTTTCTGAGTCTGTAGATTAGGAATCAAAGACCCTGTATTATTTTGTCTGTGGGAACTTACAGCAAGGTCTTATGCTTAATTCTGGGAGAGCAGGCTTGAAGAGTTGGTGAGCTACAGGAGGAAGACTTTGAATCAGATACTCTGAAAATTGCACATGGTGGGAAACTGAGGGGAGACACTAGAGGAGTGGAGGATAGTTCCCTTTGGGGCCATCAGTTAGGGAAGCTAGTTTATTAGAGCTCCATGGAGGGAAATCAGTGCTTGTAAGTTAGACATGGAAGAAGTTTTAGAAAACTAGAGCAAATAAAGTGAACAGAGATTTCACAAAAGAGGAAATATGGATGATGGATTTGTGCATAAGAAAATGCTTAATACCCTTAGTCATCAGGAAAATAAAATAAAAAAAAACAGAACAGAACAAAACAAAAACTACTCACTCCTGTCATAATGATATCATTTAAAAAGTCCAAACCATCATAAGTGCTGGTGAGGATGTTGGAACAAAAGGACTCTCACACACTGCTGGTGGCAATGCAAGTAGTGCCACCACTATGGAAACCAATATGGAAGTTTCTCAAAGACTAAAAGGAGAAACCATAAGATCCAGCTACAAGACTCCTAGAAATATATCCAAAGGTCCTAAGTCAACATACTACAGAGACACCTGCTCATCTATGTTTATGGTGGCATCATTCCTAACACTCAAGTTATAGAATCAGCTTAGATATCTATCAATAGATGAATGTGATATATATGTGTATATATACATATATACACACATATACATATATTGTACACACACATATATGCAATGGAGTATTACTCAGCCATTAAGAAGTAAAAAATCAATGCCATTTGCAGAAAAATGGATGAAATGGGATCATCATTGAGAAATAGTCTAGGCTCAAATAATCAGATGCCACAAGATTTCTCTCATTTGTTGAATGTTTAAAAAGACATAGAAGTGGAAGTAGTCCAACTGTTAGAAAATAGAGTAGGGGAGCTGGAGAGATGGCTTAATGATCAAGAGCATTAGCTGCTTTTCCAGAGGACCTGGGTTCAGTTCCGAGCACCCATGGCCACTAACAACCATCTTTAACTCTAGTACAGGGAATCTGGCACCTCTCTTCTGGCCTGCATGGACATTGCATGGCATAGGTACACTAATGTACATGCAGGCAAAACACTCATACACATTAAAAATAAATCAGAAAATAGAACAAGGACCAATGGGAGAGGGAGGGGAATAAATTTGGGCAACAGGGGTAAATATAATCAAACTATCTTGTCTACATGTATGAAAATGTCATAATTAAACCTATTACTTTTATAATTAGTATATGATTATTAAGAAAGTAATACTGTTTTTAATAGCAAGAAACTGGAAATGTTGTAATTTGTCAGAAGAAAAATTAATAGGACCATAACTAAATGGAAAAATATTACATTATTATATGATGCAGTTTAAATGAAATTTAGAGCCATCAGAACTGACTCTAAAGATTTTTTAAAATGAAAACATTCACTTGCAGTAGAATCATTAAAAATGTGCCTGGGGATGATAAATACCAATTCAAGTGAGTAATCATATTTGGATATGGAGGGAGGACAGTAAGAGACAGAACACATTTACAAATGTGAGATGTAGCCAACAAGCTGAACAATACATTGTGACTAAGAAGGATGGTATCCTTGAGATAATTCAAATAAAATGAAAATCATTATCCATATGTGCCCTCAAATAAAATTTATATGTTAATCTGATTATCTAAACAATATTGCTTAATAAGTTGATTTCATAGGCATATTAATAGTGATTTCATGATGATGCTTTACTGTATGCAATATTTGGGTTGATTTTTAAAATAAATACAAATATGAAACATAATGTATAATTATGTAAATTCATATTTTTATTTACTGCATTAAGTACAAGTTCTCAAGAACATTGTAAAACTTATCTAAAAATGTTTAGAATTTGTTACTGCTGACATTCATTTAATTTCTTCTTGACCCTTCCAGGCCAAACCGCTTACAGCTGTACTTCTGGCTACAGTGAGATCTCAAGGATCAAAACTGAACTCGAGAAATGTCTGTAGTGTGATCTTTAAAACAGAAATACATCAGGCTAATATAAGAGCAATGTTACAAATATCAGTACTGTGAGTTTTCTTCTTCATACATTACAATGTCATGCCTTAGAGCTCAATGAGAGGCACTGTGTGATTGGAAGAGGATTGTTCTGCATGGCTCTAGAACTCATGTGACCGGTGACTTGCCACTGAGACCTCCTTTCTTGCCATCTTCACCCTGATGTCATGTCCTTACTTGACTGGGAAGATGACAAAATTCCATTGTCTTAATCTTCCTGAGTTGCTATAACAAAATACCACAGGCTGTGTGACTCACACAGCAGAGATGTTTCCACAGTACTGGAGACTAAAGTCCAAGATCACATTCCTGATGATAAGCAAAGCTGATTTGATTCCTGGTGAGGGCTCTTTTCCTGGATTATAGGTGGCCATCTTTTCACTATGTCCTCACAAAACAGAGGAAAAAGACAGTTCTGGTGTTTTCTCTTTGGAAGGACTCTAATCTTAATGGCCATGGTCCCAACCATATGAATCATTTGACCTTAGTTACTTCCTAACACCCAAACTAGCAAAATTTGGAAGGACACATACATTCAGCCTAAACTACCAGCTAAGGCAATAATTGTTGCTGAGTCACCCTGTTATTATTTATAACCATTATGTTCAGAATTTGTAAAGAACTCAAAAAAACTAAGAGCTAACCTTCCAATACATAGTTCAAAATTGATAAATGAGCAAATGAACTGAGCAGATACTTTTCAAAAGAAAAAGTGTAAACAGCCAATAAGTACACAAATATTCATGACATCAAAGCTGCAGTGAGGCTTATTGACCCCATCAGCAGAGCTGTCCAGGGAATGAGCACACTGATCAGGTTTGTTCAGACTGTCCCATTCTCCCTTTCTGCTGCTGCTCTTTGGTCAGATGTGACAATCAGGAACATTGGCATTGACTGGAGACAATCCTATTGCATGAATTAACCAGTCTCAGAAAGACAAACATCACATTTTCTCTGATTTACAGTTCCTAGACACATAAAATCAGGTACATAGATATCATGACAACAGAAGCAAAACTGGGAGAACAAAAGGGACTAATGGGAGAAGAAGGGGGAGAAAGAGGAATGTAGAGGTGTGAGGGAGGAATACACTCAAACTACATTATACACTGTATGTAAAGTACTCAATGTAACCTGGTACAGTGTACAAAGAATATAGAACAATAGGATAGGGGAAAGAGCATTGGCACTCTTAACTCTCAAAAAAGAGACTTGAAAATAGGACATGTAACCTTGCAGTGGAACAATGGACATTAAGATGAAAAATTTGGAGGGCTGGTGTCTTAGTTTGGTCGTGATAAACACCATGACCAAAAGCAACTTGGGGCAGGAAGGGTTTATTTGACTTACCCTTCCAAGTCACAGTCCATCACTGAGGGAAAGTCAGGGCAGGAACTCAAGGTAGGAGCTTAGAGGCAGGAATGGAAACAGAGACCATGGAGGAATGCTGCTCACTGGCTTGTTTCCCTGGCTTGCTCAGCGACTTTTATTATACAACGCAGGTCCACCTGCCCAGGGATGGCATTACCCACTGTGGGTTACACCCTCCTACATTAATTAGCAGTTAAAAAAAAGTCTTACTGACGTGCCCACATGCCAGTCTGATGGAGAAATTCGTTAGTTGACATTCCCCCTTCTCAGATGACTCTAGTATGGTTAAGTTGACAAAACCTAACTAGCAGAACTGAGATTTGGCTCATCTGACAGAGTGTTTGCTCAGTTTGCTTAGAAGCCCTAGGTTTGATCCCTAGCGTCATATAAATTGGGTATGGGGGTGTACACCTGCAATTTTAGCACTTGGGAGCTGGAGACAGGAGAATCAGGAGTTCAAGGTCATCCTTGGCTACATAGTAAGTTTGAGACTATATGAGATCTTGACTAATAAAGGAGAAAGAATATTTGGAAAATATCTGCTACTATCTAGCAACTTCTATTTTAACTGTTGCAGAAGGGTGATGCTGAACAGTAGAGGCAAAGGAGGGATGTGAGCTTCCTGTGTCTTCCTGAAGCACTGATAAAACTACAATAAATACTCAGTAAAATTTAACTTACTTAATGAAAAATAAATACATGAAATATGTGTTTGGTATGCTACCACAGTCCAGCTTTAGTGTGACTTGTTAATGATTGTTTTAAAAGATTTTTTAAAAGATTTTTATTTATTTATTTTTTCATGCTTTTGAGACAGTGTCTCCCTGTAGCCCCAGGTTTCCTGGAACTCACTATGTAGACCAAGCTGGCCTTGAGCTCACCGAGATCCACCTGCCTCTGCCTCCTGAGTGCTCAGATTAAAGGTGTGAGCCACCACGCCCGGCAAAAAAGATTTTTATTTTTAATCAATGTTTATATGTGTGTATATCTGAATATGGGGTTGTGCACATGAGTGCAGTGCCTATAGATGCCAGAGAGGGTGTCAGAGCCCATGGAACTGGAGTTATAGGTGGCTGTCTGCCACCTGATATGGGTGCTGGGAACCAAACTTTAGTCCTCTGTAAGAGCAGTATAGGCTCTTAGCTGCTGAACCATCTCTCCAGCTCTGTTAACGACTTTTATTTATGAACGTACCACAGCCTAGTTTACTGTGCTTCGAAAATTCCTTAGCATTCTCTTGCTTTATGTAGGTTAAGGAGGTAATTGCTGTTTAGTATCTGAAAAGCAAACAGACATCTTGGATAGTGAAGGATGGTGCTGAGGATCTCCACTTGCTGCCTTGCCATCCTGTGTCTGCATTTTATTTCTTTAACTCATCCTTGAGGGCTAATCATTATTTGCTCCCTGTGAATCAGAAAGTCTCAAAGAACCTGCAAAGAATAAATAAAATGGTGTCTCAATGGCTTAAGTGCTTTTTAGACAATAAAGACATTTTGTAAGCTATAAAGGTTTGGCTTTCTGCCTTCAGTCACTTAATTTATTAGTACTGATAACAGAGGAAGGATTACTACCATTTGTTTTTGCTTTCTGGGCCTGTAAGATGGTCCATGTGAGATGAAGAGGTGGTTTCTAGGGCCCAGCTGGGAGGCTGGGCTTAGAGAAGAGACTTCTGGCAACTGAATATGGAGAGGACCTGGCCAGGTAGGATTCTGATAAAATTATACACTAACTAAAAAGGAAACTTTTCACCCCATGGAAAGTGTCCTTACCCTTGACCTTTATGTTACTTACTGCTGTGGCTATATTGAAGGAGCCCAGTTCAGACTGCATTTTTTAGCACTGTCCTTTATAAACCTGTAAATTGGCAGGATGATGCAGAAAAGAAGTTCTTTGTTGATAGACCAGTCCAGGTTCTTACCATGGCTAAGCCACCTTCTAGACTGTGATCTGGCCTACATTTTTGACTTTTGTGACTCCCCCATTCTTCATTTACAGAATGAAGTTAACACCTGTCTGATAACTGTACAACTAGCCATGGGGTCCTGTGCCTGCGTAGTGGGAGGTGCCTACCATCCATTCATTCCTGTCTTCTGAGTGGAATTTTATAAATCATAATGGAAGTGAAGTCAGCTCAGTGATATCAACAGGGACCTAAGGGGTCTTGTGACCCGTTGGCTGCCCAGTGCTGGCTGAGAGCTTCATGTTCAGATGTGCGTGCCCATGTTCTTGTGGTGGAACAATATGAGCACATGCCTGCATTTTTCACTTTCTTTTCCCAATTACATTAGAGTGACAGTTAATGGTACTATGTATTATGTATTCTGACCTTTTGAAAAATTTCTTGTGCTTTTGTACATTTCATACAATAGTTCTTAATCAAATTTAGATCCCGTCCTCCATCCATGCCCTCCCCAACTCCCTGCCCGACTTCATGCATTCCACCATACACATTAAGTCCTACCCAGTCAATAATCTGTACCCACATGCCTCTCAAGGCAAATTCATCCACTGAGCCACTGGAGTCTACTCAGCCCACCTAGAGATTGTAAGTAAGGCATACTTTCCCTCACCCATCAGTAATCAGTCTCCAATAGTTCTCAGTCTAGGACTGGTCCAACAGCCATCTTGCTCCACTCTGGGCCCTTGTCTAATTGAGTTGGCATGGATCCTGTGCTCAATGCCACCAGCGCCACAAGTTCACATTTGTAAGCTTCCAGTGACCTGAAAGCCTCTGCTTCCCTGTGTGCATGAACCAGCCCTGGCTCTTACAATCTTTCCACCCTCTCTTCCACAATGGTCTCTGAGCCATGGCTAGGTGAGGTTTAATATAGGAGTCCATCCAGGGATGCACAGTCTGCAGTCTCTTATTCTTCAAAACTTGGCCAGTTGTGGCCTTCTGTGTTCACTGCACTCTGTTGCATGAGGAAGCTTCACTGCTGAGAGTTATGGGATGCATTAGTTTTCTCTCTACCCCTTTTTCTGCTATGTTCCATGAGCCTTAGGTATAGAGGTTTAACTGTAAATGTGTCACCTAACACTGGGAATCTCTCAGATGTATATTCTCTGTGTTTGACCAGTTATGGAATTCTTCAGTAGCCTTCATCTGTTGCAAACAGAAAGCCTCTTTGATGAGTGGTGTATGGTATGCTTGTCTGTAATATACTCATCCATATTTAGCATATAGTAAGAACTTGCATTTGTTTAGAGATATGATAGAGGTAGGGTTTTTTCCTTGGATCTGTCTTCTCCAGCCATGTGCATTTGGCTGTGTTTACAGCGCCACCCATGAGTTCATTCCCATTGAGAGGGTTTTAAGACCAGTTAGATAGCTGTTGATTGCCCCCAGACAACAGTGCCACTACTGCACCACTAGAGGTAGTTTGCTGTGCCAGTCGTTATGGTTATTAGGCTTTATGACTCGGTTGGACCATTAATTGATTTTCTCCCTTAGCAGTTTGCATACTATCTATCATTATGAGAGTTAAACCAGGTAGAAGGGTTCCAGGTCAGTTGCTGCTCCATTGCTTCAAGTCCTGTATCTGAAGTTTGTCCTGTCTTCAGCAATAGGGTCTTATCTTCTAGTTCTGTGAGATAACCAAGAGCTTAGGCAATA